GAGCCCCCAGTGCCCATCCTCCCGGGAGAGCCCCCAGTGCCCATCCTCCCGGGAGAGCCCCCAGTGCCCATCCTCCCGGGAGAGCCCCCAGTGCCCATCCTCCCGGGAGAGCCCCCAGTGCCCATCCTCCCGGGAGAGCCCCCAGTGCCCATCCTCCCGGGAGAGCCCCCAGTGCCCATCCTCCCGGGAGAGCCCCCAGTGCCCATCCTCCCGGGAGAGCCCCCAGTGCCCATCCTCCCGGGAGAGCCCCCAGTGCCCATCCTCCCGGGAGAGCCCCCAGTGCCCATCCTCCCGGGAGAGCCCCCAGTGCCCATCCTCCCGGGAGAGCCCCCAGTGCCCATCCTCCCGGGAGAGCCCCCAGTGCCCATCCTCCCGGGAGAGCCCCCAGTGCCCATCCTCCCGGGAGAGCCCCCAGTGCCCATCCTCCCGGGAGAGCCCCCAGTGCCCATCCTCCCGGGAGAGCCCCCAGTGCCCATCCTCCCGGGAGAGCCCCCAGTGCCCATCCTCCCGGGAGAGCCCCCAGTGCCCATCCTCCCGGGAGAGCCCCCAGTGCCCATCCTCCCGGGAGAGCCCCCAGTGCCCATCCTCCCGGGAGAGCCCCCAGTGCCCATCCTCCCGGGAGAGCCCCCAGTGCCCATCCTCCCGGGAGAGCCCCCAGTGCCCATCCTCCCGGGAGAGCCCCCAGTGCCCATCCTCCCGGGAGAGCCCCCAGTGCCCATCCTCCCGGGAGAGCCCCCAGTGCCCATCCTCCCGGGAGAGCCCCCAGTGCCCATCCTCCCGGGAGAGCCCCCAGTGCCCATCCTCCCGGGAGAGCCCCCAGTGCCCATCCTCCCGGGAGAGCCCCCAGTGCCCATCCTCCCGGGAGAGCCCCCAGTGCCCATCCTCCCGGGAGAGCCCCCAGTGCCCATCCTCCCGGGAGAGCCCCCAGTGCCCATCCTCCCGGGAGAGCCCCCAGTGCCCATCCTCCCGGGAGAGCCCCCAGTGCCCATCCTCCCGGGAGAGCCCCCAGTGCCCATCCTCCCGGGAGAGCCCCCAGTGCCCATCCTCCCGGGAGAGCCCCCAGTGCCCATCCTCCCGGGAGAGCCCCCAGTGCCCATCCTCCCGGGAGAGCCCCCAGTGCCCATCCTCCCGGGAGAGCCCCCAGTGCCCATCCTCCCGGGAGAGCCCCCAGTGCCCATCCTCCCGGGAGAGCCCCCAGTGCCCATCCTCCCGGGAGAGCCCCCAGTGCCCATCCTCCCGGGAGAGCCCCCAGTGCCCATCCTCCCGGGAGAGCCCCCAGTGCCCATCCTCCCGGGAGAGCCCCCAGTGCCCATCCTCCCGGGAGAGCCCCCAGTGCCCATCCTCCCGGGAGAGCCCCCAGTGCCCATCCTCCCGGGAGAGCCCCCAGTGCCCATCCTCCCGGGAGAGCCCCCAGTGCCCATCCTCCCGGGAGAGCCCCCAGTGCCCATCCTCCCGGGAGAGCCCCCAGTGCCCATCCTCCCGGGAGAGCCCCCAGTGCCCATCCTCCCGGGAGAGCCCCCAGTGCCCATCCTCCCGGGAGAGCCCCCAGTGCCCATCCCGCACCCCCAGGATAATCCCCGACAGACCCCCCCCTAGCTCCCGGGAGAGCCCCCAGTGGCCCATCCTGCACCCCAACTTTCCCTGGATATAAATCCTAGCACTGCTTCCAGTGCATCTGCCAGTACAACCTCCCAACACTGTCAGCGCTTCATAGAATCCTAGGGCTGGGAGAGACCTCAGGGGTCATTGAGTCCAGCCCCCTGCCCAAAGCAGGACCAATCCCAACTAAATCGTCCCAGCCAGGGTTTTGTCAAACTGGGATTTACAAACCTCTAGGGATGGAGATGCCACCCCCCTCCCTAGGTAACACATTCCAGTGCTTCACCACCGTCCTAGTGAAATAGTTTTTCTTAAGATCAAATCTAGACCTCCCCCCACTGCAACTTGAGGCCATTGCTCCTTGTTCTGCCATCCATCACCACAGAGAACAGCCTCTCTCCATCCTCTTTGGAACCTCCCTTCAGGAAGTTGAAGGCTGCTATCAAATCCCCCCTCACTCTTCGCTTCTGCAGACTAAACGCTCCAGCCCCCTAATAACTTCCCTCAATAACTCCGCATCTTCCTCCAGTGCAGTCACCCAGAATAACCCCCATCTACTGCACTCTGTCCAAATTACCCCTACACTGCATCTCCCTAATGCAGTCTCTCATAATCCCCCTCCTCTATCCCAATTCACACACTTCTTCATTGCTCTGAGAAAGTCAGTGGTGTTAAAATGCCAGTGGTACACCTACACCATTATATGTAATGACTAAGGAGGTTAATATGTTGTCACGCATGTTTCTAGTGAAAGTTATGGACAGGTCATGGGCAATCTAATAAGGGAAAATTGATGTGGCAAGGGGACTCTGCAGCACTGTGTGCTGAGCTCATGGATTCGTGACTTCTGCTAACAAAGGGACATTTTAAAATAGCTTACCGTTGTTTAGACAGTGCTCACTCTTATTCAATGAAATAATTTTTCTACTGTAATTAGTATGTAACTGAGTAAAGAAAAATGCAGGCTGTGCAAAAGTTAGATATTTAAGATCAGATTGTATTTTGTGCCTGTCAGAGAAAAGACAATACTGCAAGTTTACATCACCTATATCATTGTACTTGACAATCTTTTTGCTGTGTGTATACAGTGCCTTGTACAATGATCCAGGAAAGGAGCTTGTTAGTGCTATCATTATACAATTAAATAAAAAATAAAAAATATTTTAATGGGGAATGAATAATTACAAAGGCAGCCATGAAAATTCCTAGAATTTCCTGCTTATAGTAATCACCAGTGCATCCAACAAAAATGAAGAAATGATCAAATTTCTGCTCAAATGCTCAGCAATGAAAAATGTAAAATGGCCATAGAAATGGTGTCCTTGGCCTCTGTTTGTCAGAGGCTGGAGAGGGATGGCACGAGACAAATCACCTGATCATTGTGTTCTGTCCACCCCCTCTGGGGCACCTGGTGTTGGCCGCTGTCGGCAGACAGGCTACTGGACTAGATGGACCTTTGGTCTGACCCCGTATGGCCATTCTTATATTCTTATGCCATCTTACATTTAAATTATCATTAACATTTAGAAAGCTCCTCAATAAGCCATTTGGAGCAGTTTGCAGCTTATGCAGGAGACACAATCAGAAAGGCTAAATATTAATATTTAAAAAATAAAATCTTAACATCTACAGAATTTGGGAAATTAACCTGCAACACCAAACATTTGTCAGCAACAGATCTTGAATCAGTACTGAAAACAGTTTGACTTCAACCATTTCCTGCACCATAACAGACAGTGATTTCGGTACCATGTGGGGAAGATGGAAACAGTGCAAACTTTTCTCATTCTGAAGACCAGTAGTCCCTGTGGCATCTTAGAGATTAACAAATATATTGGATCATGAGCTTTCATGGGTAAAACCCACTTCTTTGTAGAGTTTTTGAAGGAGACTCTACAGCTCATCGCCTGCTGTAAATTCAACCAATCTGTTTCCCAGTGCGGATACTCCATACAGAGCAATGGAAAATGGGCAGAGAACTCTTATCTCTCTGCTCTGGGGTACCCCTACGGTCCACCCCACCCCCTGCTGTGCTCCTGCTGCGCTCTCCCCTGCCAGAGTCCAGTTGAAGCAAGATGCCTCATCCCTGTATTTTCAGTCAGGCGCTGGGCTAGTCGCCTCACTCCTGCACTTTTACTCAGGCTCCGAGCAGGGCGCCCTCGAGTTCGGCTCCGGCCTCCACGAAGCCCCCGCGCGCCGGGATATGATTGGCTGCGGCGGGGGC